ATATATGATCAGATCTGATCATATATGGACTCATACATATAGGAAGGTAGTTAACACCTTAGCCACCAGAAGGAAGAGCAGTAGCTAGATCCTCCCCTCACGAAGTAATGCCTGACGGCGGTTTCCATGAGGGATTAGAGGAAAGAGGAAAGGGGTTTAGGGTTTAGTGGGTAGGGGCGTCAGCGTCAAGTTTTAGTATGACGCTGCGTCGAGTCGCCACATATTCGGGCCAACATCTATGCCTAGAATCCGTAAAAAGGATTCCCCCCCCTAAAGGAAAAAAAAAAAAAAAAAAAACACACACACACACACACACACACACACACACACACACACACACACACACACACACACACACACACACACACACACACATACGGCCGGACAACTCGGCGGGAATAGTCAAAATGTTTTCCAGGGACCTCAAAACGTAGAGATCCGATGAAAACTCGACTTTTCAAAATCGGACCGAAATAAATAACTTCCTTTTTTTCGAAAATTTCCAATTTTATCAGCGGGAAATTGAAAAATATTGATAATCAAATCAGGAAATACTTTTATGCGTTTCATTTATTTCTCATAAAATTAATATAAATTTCATGCAATATAATTTTCACAAAATTTAAAGCAGTACATATAACAATAATATTTACAACATGAAAATTTCACGGTTATCTAGACAAGCATCGAGACACGGCACCATATATTAGATAGAAGAAATTTATGAGCTTTATACCCACGGAGGCTATATATAAGGAGAACGATCGCAATGTATTACAAGCGTCCGAAAATCGGAGGACAGATCTTCCACTACTAGAGTGCGTACGTGTCTCTAATTTCAAATCTAATTTCAGGATTTTTATTCACAGTATCCAGAAACTGGACCAGAGCATGGAGTAATTCTACGGGCTCGTGAGAGATTACTAGGAAAGAAACAAAAATCATTAAGGTTGTTGTTGCGTGATAGACATTTCAACAGAAAATTATGAAATTTTTTTATCGAAAGATAAATATATTAGTAATTCACTAACAAAATTTCAGATCAATCGACCGCACCGTTTTTGAGTAATTAATTTTCGAAATTGCATCTTTTACACGTAGAGGTATAGAGAGATGGTAAAGTTAGTATGAAATCTTCGGCCCACTCAAGTGGTACGGAAAATTTCATACTAACTATCGAAATTTAAATAATTTTATTAATAATTGTTTTATTATTTAAAACTTAGTTTAAAGTAAACAAATAATTTTTTTTTCTTCGGATATTTTTACTATCATAACATCTTAGTTGTTAGGTTTAATAAAAGAATAATTTTAATTATTTTTTTACATATTATATTTGAATAAATATTAATTTAATTTTATAAAACGTTAATAAATATAAATATATACTAATTAGTTGATTCACATAGCTGCGTGCATAGATTTTGAGTTCTTAAGGACAAAATAAACTTTACATAACCGCTAAAATACATTATTATTTATGATTGCAGTTAGTTCCACTAGATGGTGATAGTTTGTGACCGTCTCGTAATAACACTATAGGTCACAGAACCGTTCTGTGAAGGTAAAAAGTCTGTAAAATTACTTGTCATGTGACCAGTCTACAGTCGACGCTCTCTGTATTTTACCGCTCCCTGTATTTGACCACATTCTTTCTCTATATTTGACGATTTTACACAGCTCTTATGGACAAGGACGAGTCAAGTACAGAGAATTGTCCTGTACGGGCGAGTCAAATACAGAGAGCGTTGACTGTACATTTCTAGTTACAACAAAATTATTTAATATTTTAGCTATAAGCTCCTTTTTGTGTTCATCACATCCTAAAATTGGAAGGCATTTAGCTTTTGCTATTTTCTCTAGCACTTGGAGCATAGTATTTATTTTTACAGTTTCAGTATCAACTACGGTTAAAACTATTTGCTCAAACTTTTTAAAAGTCTGAGGTGTCTGAGTGAGTGAGGCCGTCATAATTACATCAGGGTATCGAAATTACTCTGTGAGCTAGAAGTAGACCGCGGTCTACCTAATACTCGGTTTACTTCTCTTCTTTTTTATTTATTCAATTAATAATTTATAGTATTCGTTAGTTTAGACTGAATGATTTTCATGTGGATTTATACCCGAGAGTCATTCAGTCGACCTTAAGGTAAAATTATATTCGTAATGAGATTTTATTCATAAAGATTAATTTTATTCAATTTTATTTAATACTTGGAATTTTTTTATTAATTGTATTAGTTTAGATAATTAATTAATTTGAATAAAACTAATGTTTAATATTTATACTTGGAAAAAAAAACCGATAAGTGTCTTCTCACGAATTCTTGGTCAAGCGCCGGTAGATATTTACGACCGTAAGATGGACGGCGGAGAGTATGAGGTCCAACATTGTAAACATCGCATGGTTGGAACGATGCTTACTATAAAATTCTTATTTGCGCTGAATATTTATGTTATTTAGTAGTAATACTTTAGAACAAAGTAGCGCAAACAAGAAATTTCACAAGAATTTCATAATTAGAGTTAAATAAGCAGACTTTTTTTCCTTTTATTTTCTTTTTTTTTTACGTCGTAGATAATCCGAGGACCCAAGGTCATAACTTACAGACTAGCAAATATTCTAGCGTCTATTTTAAGAACACCAACTTTTGTCGATTTTTACATTTTAATATTTTTACAATGGAATTATTGAATTCATTTTTCATTAAAAATTTTATACTGCGAGTTTATATGTTAATGTTACGACGCATTACGACTGATTCAATCGAGAAAGTTATTATCCGAGTAAAAGATTTTATATAATTAGACACAATTATGTATAAATTATATATAATTATATAAAAAAAATGGCCTGATAAAATTCGATAGAAATGGTATATAATTGTATAAAGTTATATATAATTTCCATTATTACTCGCATCCAAACCACAAAATTAATATGACAAAATTCGCAGGTAGTTGGAAAAAATAAATGACAAAAATTAAACAGTCATGTTATTGTTATTATTGCGATGTTTCGACTCTTTATTGAGTCTTCATCAGGCTCTAAAAAATACATATATAAATTTCTAAACAATCCAATTCTCTTATGATCTATTACAATCTTCACAACAATTATAAAAAAAATTATTTTCTTACCATAACCAGTACATGAAAGTAGTCAATTAAAATAATGTATGTTGAAAAATAGTTAATCTTGAAACACATTCTATTTCTTATTGTAACTAATTAAAAAATTTTATATAAAATAATTTTTGTAAAAAGAATTGGTAACGTCCCAAATCCAATTAAACACGTGAATAATAAAAAACAGCAAGTCAATAAAAACATGCGTTACACCAAGACAGTCATGTGGTGACAACTAACCTTAAAATATTACAAAATATAAATAAATATTAATAACCACATGGTCTAACTAGACTGTACAATTACACGTCGGTAAAAATGATCTCACAGTTGGCTGTTGCCATCAACACTGATAACAATCTAACCGACAATTCAAATTTAATTATAAAATAGCCGCCATTTCATATAAGCTCCAAAGTCACGCAGTCCCGTGTCCATCCTCTTTCCGAAATTAATTTTTGTCATTTATTTTTTCCAACTACCTGCGAATTTTGTCATATTAATTTTGTGGTTTGGATGCGAGTAATAATGGAAATTTTACAACCAACGGGTATGTTTATTGGCCTGAAAAATGACTATGGAGACAATGTATGGAAACACATGAAGGATTGGTTCAATGAGAATAAAAAACTGGCAGCAATAAAAAACAGACGGATTTTCTTATTGCAATGTCGTTACAATAGTATAACACCAAGTCATATTAAGAATAATTTGAACAGTGTATTTTCTTTATAAACAGGGAATCACCCTTTTAAAAATGAAGTCCAGAAATTGAATGATAGACTTAAAAAATCTGTTTTTAAATTAGAGATTAAAGTTACGCTGCATAAATTGGGAAGGTAGAACAGCAGTGTAAATTTTTAAATGATAAGCTGAAGTCAATGCTCCCGGAGGAGGTGTTTAGCAGATGGAAGACTACTTTGGATATTCGGTATGATAAACAGTTTGTGAAGATTAAGACCGGTAACATCAGGAAGTTGGAAAAGTTATTGTGCTTGAAGGTTAGAAGTGACACAAGCACACAGGTGGATTCAAGAATATTCAATTATACACCTTTGGTCCTCCCGGAGGAGGTAAAAAGAGTATTGTGTGTGGATCCAAAATTTAGATTAACTCCAAGAAGAGCGGATGTCCATCCGGTTACAATCATTAAAGAAGTGGAATATTGTGTCAGTAATCTTCCGATGATGGAGGAAGATCCTGTAGCTGAACAAGAGGGACGGAATACGTTAATATCTAAGATAGTTAATATCATTCTGAATTATTATAAGAAGCCGGAGCCTAAGTGTGGCGATCAGTTTAGGAAGGATGTCATGTCAATAAGAAAATTTTTTAAAGAACATGATGAGGTCCTGGTGATGAGAGCTGACAAGGGGAATTCGACGGTGGTAATGTTAGCAGGAGAATACGATGAAGTCTTAACTGAGATGTTGGGCTCATAAACCAGGGTGTAAACTAAGACCAGTTGTTAGCTGCATTGGATCTCCTGGTTACAAGCTTGCCAGGTTTCTCCACACAATTTTACTTTCTATATCAACAACATGTAGGTATAGAGTTAAAAATTCACTAGAATTTGTGGAGAAAGTCAAGTCATTGATATTACCACCTGGGTATATCATGGTATCTCTTGATGTTGTCTCACTTTTTATTAATATTCCAAGAAGCTTGGTTTTAGAGATTCTAGATGAGAGGTGGGAGACATGGAGAAAAGCTTTACTACTGTCGAAAGATATGCTAGCAGAATTGATAGTGTTTTGTTTCGACTCTGGATATTTCCTGTATAATGGAAGATATTATCAACATTGTAATGGCACGAGTATGGGCAATCCTGCTAGCCCCATACTGGCTGACCTGGTGATGGATTATGTTATTACAAAAGCGGTGGAGAATCTTTTATTTGACATTCCGGTGCTGAGTGTGTATGTAGATGATACGTTCATGACAGTACCGGAGGATATGGTTGATACCTTATTAGCAGTGTTTAATAGTTTTCACCGTAAAATCCAGTTCGCATTGGAGGTAGAAGATCAGCGCAAGATTTCTTTTTTGGACGTGGAAGTAGTGAGACCGGGGGACAATAGTTTGAAGACGGATTGGTACCAGAAGGCAACAAGTTCTGGGAGACTTCTTAATAATCATTCTAATCATCCGATGAGCCAAAAAATGGGGGTTGTCAAGAGTCTCATCAATCGTGCTATGCGATTGAGTCATGAAGATTTTCATTATGCCAACAGAAAACGAATAAGAGACTTATTGGTTAATAACAATTACCCTTGTAGGCTGATTAACAGATGTTTGAATGAATATACACCAGTGAGTAAGAAGAACAGGAATTTGTTGATCAACTATTTTAGATTCCCTTTCATCAAAGATTTGTCTCCACGGATTGACAACTGTATCAGAGAAAGTTTCAGCAGACTAGCGTATTACAATCTATTGACTGCCAACTATGTTTATTCAAGACTCAAAGATCAGATCCCTAAGATAGATAAATCCAATCTTATCTATAAGGTGCCTTGTTCTTGTGGCTATTGTTACATAGGACAAACTAAGCAGAGACTCGGGGATAGATTGAGACACCACAGGTATGATTGCAAGGCCATTAATATACTTAAAGAAAATAAGACAGCACTGGCTAGTCACTACTTTGATACAGGAGACCAGTTCGACTTTGATAACACGTGTATTCTACATCAAGAACGTAATAGAGCAAAAAGAAATTTTTGTGAAATGGTGTATATCAAGACAAACAGGACGATCAATCTGAGATCCGACACGCAAGGACTAAGTGCTATATACAACGGCATACTTCAATTTTGCAAAGAGGATTGACACGGGACTGCGTGACTTTGGAGCTTACTTGAAATGGCGGCTATTTTATGATTAAATTTGGATTGTCGGTTAGATTGTTATCAGTGTTGATGGCAACCGCCAACTGTGAGATCATTTTTACCGACGTGTAATTTGTACAGTCTAGTCAGACCATGTGGTTATTAATATTTATTTATATTTTGTAATATTTTAAGGTTAGTTGTCACCACATGACTGTCTTGGTGTAAAGCATGTTTTTATTGAATTGCTGTTTTTTATTATTCACGTGTTTAATTGGATTTGTGACGTTACCAATTCTTTTTACAAAAATTATTTTATAAAAAGTTTTTTAATTATTTACAATAAGAAATAGAATGTGTTTCAAGATTAACTATTTTTCAACATACATTATTTTAATTGACTACTTTCATGTACTGGTTATGGTAAGAAAATAATTTTTTTTATAATTGTTGTGAAGATTGTAATAGAGCATAAGAGAATTGGATTGTTTATAAATTTATATATGTATTTTTCAGAGCCTGATGAAGACTCAGTAAAGAGTCGAAACGTCGCAATAATAACAATAACATGACTGTTTAATTTTTGTCATTTATTTTTTCCAACTACCTGCGAATTTTGTCATATTAATTATATATAATTGTATAAAATTATATAGAATAATATATAATTATTTCCATAGAAATAGAAATATCTGGCGTGGGCAGGGATCGAACCTGAGACCTAACGCCTCCATCGAAGTCCATCCTGGTGAAACATGACCGATGGGGTTATGTAAGCGGCGAAATACCGTATCCGGTTGGAAGCAACGCCACGGAAAGAAAAATCGCGAAGTAGAAAAACGGCGACGAGAAGGCCAAAGCGGACATTATCTTGTCGATTGGCAACGTCGAATTAAAGACGATCACAAAGTGCAACACGTCGAAGGAAATATGGGAAAAACTGCAGTCAATTCACGCGTCGAAAGAACCAGTGAGGAAAATTGAGTGGCTGACAGAGATAACATCTTTCAAAATAGACGAGGATGATGATTTTCGGGAACGACTGGACAGCTTTACGAACGCCGTCGAACAGTTAGAGGGTATGGACATCAAAATTCCAAGTGATATGCTCGTGGTATTAATTTTGAAGAGTTTACCACCAAGCATCGAGAATTTTCGGTGTGCGATTAGACCCAACGACGAATTACCGACTACAGAGGCGCTGATTGGGAAAATACTCGATAAAAATCGAAGTAGGAGATCTGCAGAGGAGAATCGGCAGAGGACAACAACGTGCTGTATGCAGGCAATCGGTATGGAAGGAAGCGGCAACAGAGAGAATTTAAGTCGAAAAATAGCAAACCATGTTTTATATGTGGAAAAATTGGTCATTGGGCAGCTAAGTGCCCTGAACAACAAAACAATTCTGCGAGGAGCGTCGAATCGTCGGCAGAGACTCACTATGCCGTGGATCAACCTGAGGAGGCCCTTAACGTGACTTCAAGGTCGAGGTGGTGCTTAGATAGTGGATGTACCACGCACATGTGTACCAGCGACGAATTCCTGACTGATATCCAGGAGCGTGACATGACGCTGAACATGGCAAATGCAGCATCGACGAAGGCGAGAGCAAAAGGGCTTGCTCACATCAAGGCTAAGACAGACACAGGTAATATTGATCTAAATCTTCGTAATACCTTACTTGTTAAAGATTTAAGGACTAATTTAATTTCCGTATCGAAAATCACTCGAAACGACCGAGAGATTTTATTCAGGAAGGACAACGCCATCGTCAGGGACCTGAATGGAGAGGTGAAGTTAGTCGCTGATCGTATAGGGGATCTGTATTACCTACAGGAGTAGACGGAACAAGTCAAGGCAGTGGAAAAGGCGTCGAAAAGAGCCAGTACGTCGGATTTAGATCTATGGCATGCAAGATTAGGACACTTGCACATGGATGCCGTAGTTAAACTGTCAAAAGGTCAAGCGTCGGGGATAAAACCGTTGAAAAAGGACACGACGTCATGCGACGTGTGTCATCGTGGAAAATTGACGGCAAAGCCGTTTTATCCGAGAGCCGAGAAAAGCCAGCGAATGCTCGAAATTGTGCATTCTGACCTATGTCAAACTTCAGGGTCGAAATCTGAAGGAGGAAACCGGTACTTCGTGACCTTCATTGATGACTACAGCGGCTGGTGTGAGCTGTACCTATTGAAGAGCAAGGACGGAGTATTCGAGGCATTTAAAACGTATAAAAATTACGTAGAGAAGCAAACAGGGCTTAAAATCAAGGCATTGCAGTCTGATAATGGTCGAGAATACTGCAATAAATAATTGGACGAGTACCTGAGTCACGAGGGGATTAAGAGGCGACTAACAGTGCCTTACACGCCGTAACAAAATGGAGTCGCAGAGCGCATAAATCGTACGATCGTCGACATGGCTAGGTGCCTACTGATTCAAGCAGGATTTCCGACGATGTACTGGGGAGCAGCTATTACGACGGCCAACTACCTGAGGAACCGTTGTCCAAGTAGAAGCCACGGAGGATCTACACCATTTGAGTTATGGTTCGGTAGAAAGCAAGGATTAAAGCATCTGTGAGTATTTGGAGCAAAAGTGTTTGTACTTCGAAAGAAGACAGGACGTCAAAAACTCGAGGAAAGATCAATCGAGGGAAGATTGGTCGGCTACTGCGAAACCGCAAAGGCCTACAGAGTACGACGAAACGACGATGGCAAGGTAGTCATCACCAGAGATGTACAAATCATAGAAGAAAACGTGATGAGATCACGTAGTGCAGTACAATTGGACGTCGAACATACACACCCTCAGGAAGAGGATCCAGAGCCAGGGAGAGTCCTGAGAGAAAGGAGGTCATGCAGGGAAATAATCCCATTGATTGAAAATCGTACGCAGGGTACGTATTTATATTTGGAGGAGCCGCAATTAGCTGGAAGTCCAGGAAACAACGAACCGTGGCCCTTTCGACGATGGAGGCCAAATTCAAAGCGCTTACGGAAGCGACGAAGGAAAAGGCCCATGGGAATAAGTGAGACAGATTGAGCCGTGTACGTGCTCATATTAAGGGAGAGTGTTGGAGATATAGTAATATAGTAATATTCTCACGTACACTATACACACACATGCGCCGACGCGTCGATCTACTGTGCATGCAGTCACGCTGTAATATTGTATACCCGAGTCACTTATCTATTAGCACGTTGTCGATTCAAGTCGTAGCAAGTATTTATCTATCGTTGTAATTAATTACTAATAAATTCAAGCATCATTTATATTAAATCTTGCTCTAATATTATTTATATTCACTCGATCCCTGCCTAACTCCCACATTATCTATAATTGTAAAAGAGAATTCCGTTTGATTTTTATATAAATGTATCTCCATATATACAATTTTATACAATTTCATAAAATTTTATAAAGTTGTAAAGGCAAATCACATAAAATAATTAGTTGAAGTTTTGAAGTTAAATTAATTAGTTGAAGTAAATTATTATAAAGTAAAGTAAAATCACTTAGCTATGTGTGGGTCATGTATGTGAAGATTGTACGGGTTATGAGTGTGTTACGCAATTATCTTGGTGTGTGTTAATAAACGATTTCTATTTAATGATGAATCTCTGGGTAGAGTAATTTTAGTGGTATTTAGATAATGTGTTAAGTTAAACGATCCCTACTTGGATGGAATTAAGCAATAACGTCCTAACCAAGATTTAAAAAAAAATCGAGTTATTATGATGAACTAAGTAATCGTATGATACTAAGTTCGTTCATCATAATAACTCGATTTTTTTTTAAATGTTGGTTAAGACGTTATTGCTTAATTCCATCCACTTAATGATGAATCTCTGGGTACCCTTAAAGGAAATGACAATCGGCCCGAGCTTGGCCAAGGTTTGGCGCAATGCTCATCAACACTGGGGCAAGCTTGAAATCCAAGCGTGGCCAAAGTCCGTCTAAGCATACAAATGATGACTTCCTGCCAAGACTGAATATCAGTACTGTATCAAGACTGAGAATTAGTATTGCGCTATGGCTGAAAATAAGTATTGTGCCAATACTGAAAATAAGTATTGTGCCAAGACTGAATTTTAGTATTGAGTCAATACCGATTTTTAAGTCTGACCCATGCCTGGTTACCAGGACTGGGCTACAGTTACTATTCAAGTCTGACCCATGCCATTTGATAAGAAGGAATTTTTAAGTTATACTTCTTTTGGCACCCCGAGTCGAAATTTAAATCGTAGATTCAATGTATTGAACATTCAAATCGTAGGTTGAGCGTATTAGACGTTTAAAACGTAGGATCAACGTATTGAACGGTGAAATCGTCATTTGAACGTAATGGACGTTGAAAACGTATGTTGAACGTATCCAATGTCTTAGAAATATGAAGAGAACCAATAATGGGTAAAAATAGTAATATTAAAACTACTCAAATAACTACAAATTTTTAATTTCCTTAGTTAAAAAATTTAATTTTTTTTTTTGTGAAAATCCAATGGTATTATGATGAACTAAGTAATCGTATGATACTAAGTTCGTTCATCATAATAACTCGATTTTTTTTTAAATGTTGGTTAAGACGTTATTGCTTAATTCCATCCACTTAATGATGAATCTCTGGGTACCCTTAAAGGAAATGACAATCGGCCCGAGCTTGGCCAAGGTTTGGCGCAATGCTCATCAACACTGGGGCAAGCTTGAAATCCAAGCGTGGCCAAAGTCCGTCTAAGCATACAAATGATGACTTCCTGCCAAGACTGAATATCAGTACTGTATCAAGACTGAGAATTAGTATTGCGCTATGGCTGAAAATAAGTATTGTGCCAATACTGAAAATAAGTATTGTGCCAAGACTGAATTTTAGTATTGAGTCAATACCGATTTTTAAGTCTGACCCATGCCTGGTTACCAGGACTGGGCTACAGTTACTATTCAAGTCTGACCCATGCCATTTGATAAGAAGGAATTTTTAAGTTATACTTCTTTTGGCAC